GTTATTGCTTGTGTAGATGTTCTTCTTCCTTAAGGAGGGAGAACAGGATAAGCTACAAGACTATAAAATAATAATTAATAGGGCTGAACCTTTGACCACATTGTTATTGGTGGCTTACAGTCCAGTTCAAAGCTGGTCCTTCCTTCAAGTTCTGGCAAGCCCAGAATTGTGTCCAAGAAACTGCTCAACCCCTTGTAGTCATGAATTAAGCAGTGGTTTCCTAGTTCTGAGCTATAGTAGAAGGTCTCTCTAGGGTTCTTTTTTTTTCTTTTCAAAAATGGCCCCTCCATTTTAGCCACTAGCTGATGTCCGCCATTACGGTTTCCTCTACCTGGTAGATACCGGCTGCACTTTGAGCGGGAGAGCAGAGAGGAAGTGGAACGGAGAAAAAAGATTGCCCGGGAGAAGGTCTTGGAGCCGGTGCCAGAAACCGAGACAGAGGTGGACATAGAAGATGTTTACAAGACTGGCTCAGGTAAGTGAAGAGGGTCAAGGAAAAGCTTCTTGGTTGGTAGGTGAATCTGAAGGACTCCCCGCCCCTCCTCCTGCCATTTCTTGCTCTTAATACACTACTTTCCTGGTCTCTGGAGATCTTGCTTCAGGCATGAGACCCATTTACGTTGAGGAGCTTTTAATTATCTGAAGTGCATGAATGAGTCTGAAGCTTCAGCACAAACATTCTGCTCATCCGTCTGTTTCTAAACACAGTGTAATTGCTTACCAGGTTTTCCAACAAATGGCATGCTGGCTGAAAAAAAAAATGGAGTTCTAGTCCCAAGATGTCTGAAGGACATCAAGTTGGGGAGGGCTGGTTGGGATACAAGATTCTGTTTTTGCCACATTGTGTTGAGTCTGCTGACCCTTGTTAAAGTCACTCTTGTCTCCCATTCTTAATATTATATCACCCTTCTTGTGATAAGATCCTTTCTTGCCCAGACCTCTCAGAATTAATTTAATGTCACTACAATAGCGACAACAGAGCTGCTATCAGTTTCTCATCCTTCTCCAATCTGACTTCACATCACCTGATTTTCAGATTCCTAGAGGAGAAAGATCATACATGGGGGATTGAGTACGTTCCTTAAGTCAGAATATTTCTATCCTCTTAGGACTTTACTCCCGCTTCCTTCACAATGCTCGCAAGTTTTCCTGACCGCTTCTTGTTTTTCCTTTTTCCAATAGTACTCGATTTTCCTAAACGTCCCCCTTGGAATTACCAAATGACCAAGGATCAGTTGTTGGCACGAGAGGAGAATTGTTTCCGGGAATATTTAGAGAATATCTATAGTACATTCCAGCCCAATCAGCTGAGTTACTTTGAGCACAATCTGGAGGTAAGCTCTTGAAAGACCTAAGCTACGGGGCCTCCAGGCACCCCACTCGAAGCCCCCAGAATGTCTCAGAGCAGCTGAGACTAGCTTTCTCATTTTGGGGGAGAAAATGCATGCTTTACACCTCCAAAAGGTTTAAGGCCCCTATTATATTCCTTAAACCTCAACATGCAAGAGAAGACTGACCGTTTCAGCGGTCTACCTGGCAGTGAGGACAGGGTATCATGGCAGAACTTAGGAGGCTCCTTGGCAGGACACAGAGCACTGTCCAGATTGAAAAATGTTGTCCACTTTTCTCCTTTGGGAGAGCTTTGGTTCTGGGCTGTGTGAGAGTGGTATGATGTCCTCTTATCTATAGGACACGTAACTGGCTGCTTTACTTACCTAACTCAGTGTTTCTCAACATTGGCAACTTTAAGACGGGTGGACTTCAACTCCCAGAATTCCCCAGCTAGCCATGCTGGCTGGGGAATTCTAGGAGTTGAAGTCCAGATATCTTAAAGTTGCTAAGGTTGAGAAACACTGCTCTAGAATTTCCTGTGCTTAGAGATACATAGGGCTTCTATGCTGCTTACTTGTAGGAAGAACATTAAGGGTCCTCTCAGCATGTTTTTGAGCCCTTCTAGATAGTTTTATTGCTGTATTTGTTATTGCTTGTGTAGATGTTCTTCTTCCTTAAGGAGGGA